CTTTGACGGCCTTCCGAAGGGCAGAGGTCTTTGCAGTCCTTTCTAGTCTTCCTCTTAGACAATTTTCAATCTTTTCAGTCTCTTCGAATCGCTTAATGACGCGATGTACTTGCTTTCGATGGAGTTTGAGCATCTTGGAAATCTCGGATACTGATGCTCCGCGTTTGTACATCGCGACTACTGCTGAACGATCGTCAAGCGAAACCATTTTTACAAAAGAATAGCAAAGAAGACTGCCCTCATTAGGTTCAAAATATGCGGGAAAATCAAATAACTCCATAATATAGCGAAAGAAGAAAACGAGAAGCCCAGAAATCGATTTTTTATTGCCCGTCACACTTCATGTGGGTCACCCTGTATATGCTAAGAAATCAAGGGTCCTATCGGGAGAAGGTCACACCATCTGCTTTGCCATAAAATCCTTAATTTCAGTATCAGTCACCGAACGATAGTGTAATTCGACCCGGCTTGAGTTTAAAGTCCCTAGTTAGAATCTAATGTTATGAGGGGTCAGCCTTGTAACTGACACACTATTCTGTCACCTTTCGATCTGTGATCTGAATCCGAGCCAGAGATCCAAAATTCATTGGTATCTTGCTCATTGATGCTTGTAACTTATGCGCCGACACCACGCAGAGAGCATTTTAGGTCTCGCTCACAGATCCAAAAATTCTGGACTTCCAGAAAGCTCAAGGAAGGAGCGGAAAATAATCCCACCATCAAAGGTGGATCTTTTCTTTGAACTCGAAGCAGCCTTACGCTCTCATCGTTCTCGTGATCTGTTACTGAGAATCATGAAATTTTCGTCCTTGACTAGGGCCGTGTGATGATTTAGTGGGTTTTGAAGGTCTTGAAGGGTGCTTGGATATTTTGTCACAGGGCCTCATGAGCCGACTCCATTCTTCTAGCTATCGAAGAGGGCGGAGTTGTCGAGAAGTTAGTCATTCAGGAACAGTCGGTAACTCTATGACACTATTACAACTGAGATCTGTCAATCTCAGTTGTAATAGTGTCAATGGAGTTACCTACTATTCTTGAATGAACCTTGCTCAAGCACGAATTCATTTCAACTAAATCAGATGTGAGCTATGGTTGCGTAGTTTATTTTTCACGAATAAAGAGGCCAGCAGTAACCAACCCAATGTGTCAAGCTTCCAAAGGCCATCGACGGTCTCGTTCTTGTGTGAAACTCCGATAGCGTAATGATGCGTGTTAAGAGAGGTGCTGAAAGTGAACAAATAAAAACGTTCTTATGAGAACTATGTCGTAAAGTGCAAAACTCCTCAAAAAGCCACTCACTTCCAGTTTATTTGGGACTACAAGTTTTCGATGAAGCCTCCTATTTTAGTAAAAAAGTTCATTTGCCTTGTTAGGTTCTTCAAGAAGAACTCTACCATTCGTACATGCCCCGATCTGAGAGGTGAGATCTCAAAAACTATCCAAATAAAGGTAGCAAAATAAATGAGAGGGTGGGAGTTGGGCATCAGTACCGCTATATAGAGCCGAGCGCAGAGGTCTCTGGAAGGGGCAGAATGGCAACGGCGTGGCCGGCCAGGTAAGAAAGGGGTATGCGACGTTCTAAGGTGCGTTGGGCTCCAACTTTGTATCGTGTATTTGGCGATGAACCAACGACCTCCTGCTTACCTATTGGCCTTGAAATGGAAGGATTTGCGATGTCTTTAATTCTCAAGAATTGAGGTTATTCTACAGCTCCCTGATGTACCCTTTTGACATTTTCTTACTTGAATTACATTTATCTACCATTTCCATTTGTCACCTACACTCAAATTACCATGCTCATTACCTATAAGATGAAGCTCGTAATTGATTTATGTAGATTTGATCAGAAAAAAAACTCAAACGAAACGTAGTCATGGCAATGTCACTCCTTAGTTAGCTAACAATCTGAACATCAACCTGTCCGATGTAGGCCATGGCGTGATTATGTGGAAATTAGACAGTCGAGACAGTGATGATGGTATGCTGTCACTTCGTAGTTCTCGATACCTGCAACAACACGGGTAAGTCGAAAGGGGCTAAAATTTATCAACACAGTCCACATCACTGCTGTAGTCAGTTTGTCTATACAAATGGTGTTAGCTAAAGTGCATAGAAATTTCGTAGTTTTTCTCAGCTGAAAAGCTTAAAACATATTGCTTTAGATTGGCGCCCATAATTTTGGGACACCCTGTACATATTATCAGTGAGCACATCAATAGTGAACTCTCATTATTAAAAAAGTTCTAACATTGTACGATGGTCATAATTTTGTGCATTACAGGTCTCTGGGTGGTAACGCTTTTATTCCAAATGAACCTGATTGGTTGCTTTCCATAGGCGCCAACACGACGATATGTAAAGAGCTACTGCAGCTTCCTTTTACACCGATGAAACTCTCAGCATCACTCGAGTACATTTTCTGAGTTGATCTACTGGGTTGTGGGTCGGTGGGAAGGTCTTGAGACACACATTAACATTTTTTTTGCGGTTCTTCTATGAAGACCCTTGATGCTCTCTGACCGTCATCACACTTAAGAACAGCGTCAGAGTCACCAGCAGTGGAAATAGGTCTTTGAGCGTGTTAAACATATAGCGATATCGAGGTAAGAACTTCGAAAAATTGTCCTCTGCGGATGGCGTCGTTGCTCCATTATTATTGGCATACTGTTACTACTTTTCGTACTGTATTCCATAATCACTGGGCTGCTTCTGCTTTATTCTGCTAACCCACCAAAACCTTCTCACCTGCTGTTAGGTCAAGCCGGTGCTGCACGACAGTATCTTCTCCTCTTGTTGTGTCGATTCGACTGCACTCCACCCGACAACAACAAGAGGAGAAAATACTGTCGTGCAGCTTGACCTAATAGCACGTGAGAAGGTTTTGGTCGGTTACTTCTAGAACTTGAAGGGGATGCTATAGCACAAGTTCAAATAGCTCCGAAAACTCGTTCATGCTATCCAAGAAAAAATGACTGAAAAAAGTTTCCGTTCATCTTTTACAGGTTACAGGAGCTTGGCACGATTTCCTATTTGAGGTGCCTTAAAAGGGGATACTCCTGTCCCTCTACCTCGTCCACTCTGAGTATCCCCTTTTAAGGCACCTCAAGTAGTAACCAGCCAAGAAGAAGATCGCCACTTTTGGTGTGACTGACTTCATTGAATCGAAAGTTTGAGTAAAAATGTCAAGGAATGTAGAACGTGTATCCAAACGTATTGGCAGCAAAAGACATAGCCGAACTGGGGAGAATTATAATGCACTGAGATGGAGGACTGGTGATTGCGCCCTGATAAGATCTACCCGACGGAATTCTAGGCATGTGAATGTACATACATCGTATAGATATGAATTTAACTAACTGCTGAACCAGAAATGCCTTAGCAGGTATGAAACGCGGCAACTTGATGCCGCCGTTTGGCCTACATCGGAACACAACGCAACGAAATCGAAATGAAGTGCTCAATATTCTTTCGGGCTTTCAACAAAAGAGAAGAAAGGGCGTTTGGATTTCTTAAAAAATCCTAATATGACCAGCAGAGGTGAGTATCCGTCCACGACGATCTTCTGCCATACATACAGGACTGTCGTGATTCAGTGAAATCATGACGTGATCGTCGTTATCATATGTTCAAGACACACAGCGAAGGCTTCTATTCGGTACTGACCGTCGACTACGGCAGCGGTGGATTCGACAATGAGAGCATCACTGAAGTGCTGCCGGAATCCGACAGGAAACATGAATATGGGATACTACCACCTTAAACTACCATGCTCAGGATACAACAAGAGAGAATTGTATACCAGTAGTTCTAATGTTAGGAATATCGCAGAATGGCACAGGTACCGTTACGGCAGGACACAGTAAGCAACTTCTAACGGAATGCCATCCTAGATTGATGATTCAACTCCTCTTCCGGAAAATTGAGAAAAACCAAAAAAAAATTGGTAAAGTAAAAAAAAACGAAGTATTGTTAATGATGGGCAGAGATTAGAAGAACAAGCTTGCCAGAGTCTCAGGACGATGAAATCACATTCCACTAATCTAGCCTCTAGAATTTCTGAACCAGAATATTTACCTTTTACCCGACTCACGGCATCCCTCTTTATGTTTTATTTCTTATTATTCCATGAAATGTAAGCTATTAAACTTGCACCGAGCACCAAATTCTTCTTGATCGATTGGTATTCAAAGAGACGTGTGACCAAAAAGGAGTTTATAGAAGGGACATGGGGCTCACTTCACATAGCGACACTTTGGATCTCTACAACCTCTGACAAACTCATAATAAACAAATGACACTCACTCTCTCGCTACTACCAGGATTTTCTCAACGTAAGTACGAGATTACTCATCTATTCTCTGACACTTAATTTCCTAAATAGGGAATGAACGATACTGTTCCTCAAGGTAATGTGAACAGAACTACAATGATTTCGCTTGAGCGAATAGGTTGTGAAGTGAGACCATGCAATCTCAGAGACCTCATATGAATTTGTACCCTATATAAACTCTTTCTTGAGACAGGGACAGAAAAAAGGCTTGAACAGAGATTCGTTTCGGCAAGGTCGGAGGCTCTTTTACAAATGTACTAGTTCTCGATATTTCGACTGTAGAGGAATCAGAACAACTCACGTAATCAAAGCCACTTTGCTCTTATCGGTGAAGGTTCCAGCGCAGTAAGCAGGAAAAGATTGGCTCGAGACGTGCTTGCACTCAGATGCATTCAAATAGGTCATAAGCCGATTCAACTCTTCTTTTGGAGATCCTATAACAGGAACCATCAAAGATTCTCGAATTGGGTGCTCACTAGCTGAATCAGCGATTATTACATGCACTGAGAGCTCGAATTTAACTTTTAAATAGATTTTGTGTCCATTCTTCTCAACCCCACCTACCACCACAAAGCAAGACATGAATGTTTCGGGAGAGAGTGGGGTCAGCAGACAGTAGTGGAACACACTCACCGAGTCCAAAAACGGGCGCTGTGAGATGAGAACGAAACTCGGCCGAATCCATCCGCATCATGCTGACGCGATATTTGCAGTTTTGACTTTCTTGTCCACATAGTCCACTGGATGTGGCACCAATCAACGCGTACTTTTCGGAGTAGAAGAGCCAATAAAGCAGCTGATACCTGAGAATATTTGGCTCTTGCCTGACTGGTTTTGCAGTCAAAACCTTGGAAACTGACCATTCCCCAATCACTTGTGTAACGTTGGGCTGGCTACCCGAATCTATATTTATCGTAAGCGCTAGGTGGCGTGCTGTCATATTCTAAAAGAGTATCGATCATGAGTCCACTTTTTGAGGGGCACCTCAGAAAACCGTTCCACTCAACTGCACCAACTGACGCACGACGCGTGGCTGATCGTAGGCTTGGAACTGGAAGGCATAGAGTTCCAATTTAGCCACATCATAGGTTCTACCACGAATCGCATATTCGATATCCCACGTCGCCCAACGATCCCATCTATCGAGCTCGGTAAGGTAGTGCACTTCGACGTCTCCTAATATGCCCACAACGCAATCAACTTGATCAAGCACATGAGGAACATCGACATAACAATCGCTCACCACCTAGATGCTCTATCAAATCATTTTTTTTCGGGAGGAATACAGTCCATCTTGTTGCAGCTAGATCTCGCTCGAACTTGCCAGATGACAGCTGATTACCAGTAACAATCAATACACGCCTGGAAAGCGACGTGATAGCTGAACCAAGAATTACGTATGTCGAGTGCGAACTCACTCTATTGGCCCACTCTCACCGCAGACAGTGAAGGACTCTGAATTGTCGCCGAAATGAAGAGTTTCGTTACACCTGGAACAAATTTTTTTTTNTTTTTTTTTCATCGCCCAGATAGAGTTTCACGGCATCGTCTGACCATTTTCGTGAGACCTCCTGACATTGCTGGGATCTAGCTTATTGAAACAGGCTGTCTCGACGATTATTTTGTACGCTGGCACACTTTTAAGCAGAACATGACTTTTTCTGGATCAGCCGCACATATTGTGTGGCAGCTCTTTCGAGAGGCGCTATTCTCTGTGGGCAAGGGCATAACCTTTTCATTCGTGTCAATTATTCAAAGTCATCGATTGCGATCTCCAGGCTAGCGAATTCCGAGAACCTCCGGCATTCACTTCTCTTTGATTCTCCTCTTCATCCTATTGGCATAATGTTCCGAAAAAGGTCTCTAATTTAAAGCTTGAAATATCACAATATTTCTTTCTTTTTCTTAATTCTTTTCCAGACCGGATCTTTTTGTGTTCGGATCACCACGATGATTAGGAACTGGAGAAGTGAGACTTCTGATCTGGGCTAGTACGGTGGTTCCCACACGTTCTTAGTTACTAGCTGTTGGTCAGTACCTGAGCTCTAGTTTTTAGGCGCGGTAAGCACTTATGCTCAAGCTGTCATAGGACTTGTTACCTATTGAAATGTTATACGGAAGTGACCAGGGCTTGCGAAAGGCATCGTGCATGGGAGACGGAACATTTACCCAGAACTCTATGGACGCGGTAAATCACGCGGCGGAAATCGTGTGATTAAAACGACTCTGGAGCCTATCATTGGGGCACAATATTGAAGTGGGATAGATAAGCAGCATAAGCTGGCCCTACTTATCCAAACTACTTTAAAGCCGTGCCCCAATGATAGGCGCCAAAGTCCTTTTGGTCACTACGAATTTCGCCACGCGGTTTGCTGCGTCCATCCAGTTCTGAGTGAATGTACCCATACCCATCGTGCATCAGTACCATGTGAAGTTTAGAAGGCGGAAAAGACACTCTCGCATAATAATGAATAGCATGCTGCGCTTGATGCCCAAGTCAGTGCCTCTACATCCCCGGCACGCTAATTTCATATAAGCGACGTCAGATAGATATAAAATTCCGGAGATCCCGATTAGAAACTCAACTCCCGGTCTCGGGGGAGGGAGGTGCGGCGTGCTGATCACCTTTGATAACCATTCATTAGCAATTTCTTCCGAAGTAAATATGACGCCAATTACCTCGAAGGATCTACCTACCTGTACTGAGGCGCCGCCAAAAATTCATTTAGCCGGAGTCTTGCATACAACGAATTATTGAGAATAGGAGGACTTTCGATATCAACTGTTCTCCACTGGATGGGCAGAGATAGCGGGAGACTGAAAACATAACTGGACCAATTGAAATGAAAGAGATTTCATGAAAATGAATTCAGTAATGGGTATTGTCAAAATGATTCGGACGGCTCTGGCTCGGCTATTATCTAGGTTACACTCAATTGTTATCATTGACAAGTAATAATTCATATTTACGTTTTCAAGTCGATGCTGAGTTCTCGTTCGACTTCGTCGTAGATCTTTCGGAGAAGCACCACTGTGATGGCAATCAGCAGCAAGCGTAGACTGAGCAGGGAGTTGAGACAGTGCATTGCTTACATCTGAACACTCGGTACAACGATTCTACAAAAGTGTCTAATTCGTAGTCAGCTGACCATTTGCCAAGGAATGATACTTGGTAAAACGACACTTCGCCAAGGAAATTCCTAATGTGCTACAATTAATTTGTAAATAAATCAGCGGGAAGGCGAAGAAGACAGATATATTAGGCTGATATTATATACTATATAATGAGCCGTACAAACTTATATGAATCGTCGTATTTCTATAAAAGCCTTTGCTCCTCAGACCGTCTCTGCGTTCCAAAGCAATCTCAGGGTTGCTACCAGTAATATTCAAATAGGTCCGCAAGCGTCCTCTTGTAAATTATGTCGCAAACAACGGGAAATCAGCTTTGGTTAACTTTGCTGCTCGTTCCGCTGGCTTCAACATCAACAATGCATTCAGAAGGACCCCAGCCATGCAACAGTGAGCCGTTCATTCACTTAGATCAGTGCAACGTTGCCGGATACTTTAGTACGGTTCCAGAAAATTCTTACTCAGTGATTCCGCCCCAACTGTCCGGCGATCTCCATCACGGTTTGTGCTCAAGCAGTCAGTTGCTTCACCTAACCTTCAATCAGTAATAGTTCCTTCAGGACTTGGTAACGGTAGATTAAGGCTGAAACTTGACAACGATAAGAAGGTTGCTATCTGCACCAAACGGAAAGCCCGCTCGCGCCGGCTGATTGTGAGCCAAGACGGCACCTGAGGAACTTTTGCTGAGCATAGGACTCGAAGGGAGTGCCATATCAGGAACAGCTATCACAAAGTCATACAGCCACGGCTGCAAGTGAAGTAAATTGACCGAGAACAGTTTCTAATACTTCTCTGAAAGACCGCGTTGGGCCTCACGTCGCAAGACGAGGCTGCATAGGTTTCATACTCAAACTTCAACAGAAACGCGGATGGATCACAGTTCCTCACCCTTCCTATCCCCTCACCTCTCTCATTCTGATTATCCCCCTTTCAGGCACCAGAAGCAGTTTTCGGCCAGGAACAAGATGGCCACTTTTGATCATCACAAAATGCTGTGACCTGCTGGCTCCGAATGGGAGGCAGTCGCCTGGCAACTTGCCATTGTATCGCAAGGGCTATAAATGCCACCTTGGAGCGGCCGATTCGACGCGTTTTGGGAGATGGACAAGTCTTCCTATGATCCAATCTTCTGACTATGCTAACCGACCAAGGCACCGCCCATCCAGCTGGTATTGCCCGGTCGATGACGCGAATAACTCTAGATGCTAATAATAGACACGGGCTTATCTAGTGTTCCATCCATTTGCATTGTTTGTTCGGCTATTTTTCGTTTTTTGTTGCTTTTTGTCCTTTTTGAGTTCCTTTTTTTCATAGATACTGCTCAGTTACAGTGAAGCGATAGTATCGTAATCTCATACCTCCTAATTCAAAGTAATTTGCAGTGCATATACATATTTAACGGACTGTTCGTAGGATGTTTCGAAAGCTCAAGCATGCTTTCGTTTCTTCTTTCGTCATAACATATGTTGGGTTGCATTCGTTCAATGCGTTTCAATTAAAGTATAGCAATGCCACTGTTAAATTTACTACTATATCTAGCTGGCTTTTCTTCCCTTTGCTATTCTATGACTTATCAATCTGGTTTAGGTTTGAGCCTTCTATATCCACTGAACTGCCTTCTGTATTGTGCTACTATCATTATTGGACTATCGTCTGTATTCGGATAGCTTTAATAACAAGGCAAGGCCGCCACCATTATTCCATCGCAGGCAAGTGTGTAGACTACATTCGACTAGCTTGATTCTTTTTTATATGAAGCTATCTTCTGTAATAGACTCGCATTATTCTTCTTCGTTAATATGTCTAAGGGGGGGGGGCACGTCAGGAAGGGGTAGAGGGAACCGCATAGGGTCTCGCCGAAGAAGAAATGTCCCTGAAGATCAATACACCGAAGGGTCAATGGTGATCAGATGAGTGATGAGTGTAGGTGAACTGGTGATCAGACGGCAGTCGCAGTTGTAAACATGCCTGAGGAAAGAAGAGGCGCTGGAAGAACTGTAAAATAGGAACCCTCGCGATGGAGACGTCGTCATTAGTTTTTCGTCACCTGCTGCAACCGTCTAACTCACCGAGTTTGTGTACTCCGTTCCCTGGAACTCCCCCGACTAATCTAGCACCCTTAGTGAGTGCTGGTGGGACGAACCTCAGTGGTTCGTGAGATAAGTAGGATCATGATATTGGGGAAGGTCAAGTGGCCAAGTTCTTTTACGGCTGGATCTTTCTGCGGTTCCGTTTGTGGTGAATCCACTGGTGGACCCTTTTGTTAGATCTCTTGCTTCTGAACTGTTCCTTGTTTTTATTGATCGTTTTTCTGTTATAATAAACTTGTAAATTTCTGTGTTTTGTCGTACACTCGTAAACGGAGCCAACCCTACTCGGTGTACGGAAGGACCTTACACTTTTGCTTACTGGAAGTATATAGGTACGTGGCCAGGTGATTTGGTGCAGATATCGGAAACAACTGAAGCGCCACATGCAAATCAAGAATACCAGTTAGGGCGGAACGGTGGGACACTATCAGAGGAGCGGTTTGTCTGCCAACGTGTCTCCGCCTGGGTAATTTCCTTCTCTAAAAAGCAAGTTGCTATACTCTGAAGCACCCATCTAAAGATCACACCACATAGAGAAGGGCAAGGACTTTCTGGAATACTTGCACTTGACGTGGTTTGATGGCCATACAAGAATTTGTTGTGAAAGTAGGAAGTGGACCACAAGCACAGCTGAAGCCTACCACAACTAAGCATCAACTAAGCAAGTGAGATAACGGATGGGACAAACAAAGCGGATCATCAGACCAAGAGGCAATGGAGTATCAACAAAACAGCTCGGTCGTAATTGAGGAAGGATACTTCAACTCGTTAACCAACCCAAAAAATAACGGAAGCATTGGCATGCAAAAAAAGACAGAGAAGGCCGCCACAACTTCAATTGCAGTACCAGAAACCTCGGCGAAACGTTTCCAATCCGAACTCACAGAAGTAACCAGAATTCAACACCTCATCCTACCGGACCTCATCGCGATAGCAAAAGTTGCACCGGAGAATCCTGGAATCGAAACAAAGTTTGAAAAGATCGCAATGACATTGACGCAGTAGAACGAACTTCTGGCAAACGCGGACATCTCTCATCTCTCAGTCTAGGAACTTTTCGAGCGGTACAGCAAAGCAAATAACTACAAAATATAAGATATCATTCTTGCATGCCACCTGAAGTAGAAGAAGAAGGCGAACAAGAGAGAACCAACGGAAAAGGCCGAACAGGGGGAAACCGCAGCCTCACACAACGGAAACGTTTCAGCCCTTTCCAACGGGGAGAGCGACATGGGCCCTCGCTGCTCCCTCAAGCAAGGCCTCTGAATCCTATTTCTGAATGGGTAATCAATAAAGTACTCAAAAAAGGGCCATACTGGAAACCAAAAATATGCAGTCAACAACAATCAATTCAATTTCAGTAGCTTCAGGTGAGAAATTACTTCCGATTCTGGATCTGTCCTCCTTGAACAAATTTACACAAAACAAAAATAAGGCTCAAAAATATGGCTAAAATGTTAACTCTCCCTCCAAGGGACGGATATATGGCGCCGTTCGACTTCAAGGCAGGGTACCATCACATAGAAGTGCATCCATCCTTTACGAAATATCGTTACGAAAAATAATTTTCAGGGGGGAGGGGGGNGGGGGGCAGCAATATTTCAAGTTTTCATTTCTTTCATTCGGTTTGACCCGAGCGTCACAGAGGTTGCAAAATGTCCGAAAAATGTAGGTAGGAACGACACAGAGGATCCAATGACTAAAGCAACAAATCGATCCTGAAGCCTTTCATCTCACTATCGCTACGAAAAGGAGAGAAAAAATAGAGGTCCTGTCATCAAATATCTTAAGAGTAGGGGCCATTTCTGTGAGCATGATTCGAATGACTAGGATGTATTGCCTCTGTGAATTTGATATTTATTTCAGTTATAATAAGAAAATGGCGAGCTGTCAGGGCACAAGTAACAGAGGAACAATGGGTCGATTCGGCTCTATCTCTTCAATGGGAGCTCTCCCTAGACGAGGAGTGAGCTGACCAGTTGGATGAGTTCCCAAAACTCGTCTAAATGTGTCTCCATGAACACCCCAGCTATCGTCGACACCCTTTCGAACCTCTCATTTGTGGAGCTTAGTAGCATTCGGCTCTATATTCAGTAGAAACGTTCGCTAGCACAAAATCAGCAAAACGCGAGAAGTTTATTTCCAGACTTGACTGCGAAAACTCAAGCGGCATCGACGCCTTTTCAGATCTTCAGAACTTGTTCTTCCCCCTGATTCGAAAGGATGACGGCTGGATTCCAGAAATAAAGGAGAAAGTTATCAGCTCGGCAGGTGCAATAGTAATTCAAGAAAATTCTCCCTTCTACACTTTTGGCACCCAAAAACTGGATTTCCCATTCGTCTCCGCCCTTCACATTTTCCAACCCCCTCCGCCTTTACATAATGTTGGCTGCGTGAAGACGAAACGTAAGTTTCACTTTTTCATTTTTTTTCAGTTTTCAAGTTTAATTCATAGAGCATCGAAGACGGGAATGGGGTTTTGTATTCCTGCAACGGGACGCCGTTCAGGCGGTCCCGAGCAAATTGGAACCGATCGACGCGGTTGCGCCGCGGCCGAGCCGTCGAAGGCCGATAGGGAAAATCCTCCCCATTCCGGCTTCGTTATCGTGACGTCCCTCCCTTTTCTCCCCTTTCTTATACAAGAGTCAATGTGTGCTAGAAGGCGTTTTAAATCGCAGAGCCCCCGCCAACATTCCAATTCACGGCAGCGAAGAGAACAGCACGACCGGTCAACGAAAGCGGCTTCCATGATGTCGGGCAAATCATACAAGCATAGTATAGTCAAGCCAGCACCGGACACCTTAAAATACATAGAAGAGTCAGAACCCACCCCCTCAAATCCATTAGGAACAGGAGTATTCCACCGTAGAATATCTCATCGCACACCTCACTCATAACGGAGAAGATCATTCCTTAGGTTGTCATGTAGTCGTCATAACACATTTTCTGTACCCCTTCCCGAGGATCACGCAAATATTCTGCAAGCTCTGTTCATAGCCGCGGGTAAATACAGGATCTCAATTAAACACTTAAAGATGCATACCTTAACACAGAATTGGGATTGAGATGTAGATCCGCCGCCAACGTGATCTGGGCATCATTATAATGCTGGCCATTTCTGGTCCTCCAGAGTCGGAGAGCTTCAATTTTGAAATTCTTTGTGCCGTGGAGACGGAATCTGAAGGGCCCAGATAAGAAGACCCAAACGGACCAAATGGGACATTGAACCACGGTAGCAGCGAAATTCGACCACAACGAACCCAGTCGTGGCAAGCCTTCTGCACCAAAAGACCTACTGGTTCCATGTCAATTCCTGTTCAGTGACAAGAGTAACACGGGGACAGCCACTGATAACATGAGGCAGGGCACTAACTGCACGAAGTTATGCTAACGGGTCGTTGGCAACCCTTCAAAAAGTTTGAAGATGTGTGAGACCTTCCTCTTTCGTTCACAAGGCTGACGACAGGTCGCCAAACGGATGCAGCCAGTCCGCACTTCCTCTTCAGCTGCCCACGTGATGCAACCCCGACTGCTTCGGAACGAGAGGGCATCAACTGTTTAGTTCTTCAAATTCCTTATTCAATGGTTCACATGATTTGCCCATAGAGTATGTCGTTGGTATTCTCAATTTGTACATAGCGTATGTTTTTCTACTTGTCAGGGAACGGCTAAGTTTTTCAAATTACATCATGCTCTTTCAGTCAAAACTATGTCATATCTCTTCAGGTCAACCAGCGAGTGCCTTCTGATAGTACTTAAGTATACCTGTCTCCACCAGGTCATCGGTGTATCCTGAAAAACGGTTCGCACCACCTTGGTAATCTTATACATGTATTGATTTCGATTTCATAATGGCCTAACTGCCCTCTGTTGTCAGCCTACAATACGTTGTCACTACCTTCTCTTAAGGAATCACTTCACATGTAACTCAGGTGTCGCGTTGTTGATGCCGCCCTCCAAAGACGGCTGGTCATCACGAAGGGTCGCGTAGTAAGTAATGAGGAACGCCACATGGGCGTGGTGAGGAAGGTACTATGAAATAGGAAGTCCACTGCTACTGCTTCCGTTGACCCCTACCTATTATGGGTTACTTTGTGGTTACTCACTCTGAATCATTACCTCCCTCCTTTTTGTCGCATGATGGATCATACTTAGATTCTTTCATTTCCAGGACGATCAAACAATTCAAAAAAGGAAAAAGGAAGGGTGAGAAAACATCTACACTGGCATCGGAAATCATTAAACACTCTGCGGACTGCTTCTCATTACACCTTCAATGAGCAATTTCCTATAGTTATATTCAATTTTAACATTATAAAATTTCATGTCTCTATGGTGTTCTTCAGAAAGATCGTTTAGTTGTTGTGGAAATGTGATGTGCGTAGCCCAACTGGTTATTCAATAACGTGCATGCCGCCAATGAAGTTAATGACTAAATATAAGAATAAAAATTATTGGAATAGGTGAATGCCCGCCAAAGAAGAAACTGAAAACATTTGCCACACGAAAAGTCCGTTGAAAATATGAACTACAAGCTACTTCAAAATTGAAAGTATCAGGCTCTAGAAGAGGACGATACTACCAATTCATTGTGACTAAGCAGAATAATTGAAAGGCAACTCGAATAGTTCAAAAAGTAATGAAAAATTCAGCAAAATAACCGAATAAATATGCAAGAAGACAATATAGATAAGTTCGCAATGCGGCATCCCTAATTAGCGGCATTGTCGAAACAGCTGGGTGAGCAGTGGGTTGGCGGTTAGCATGATCAGAAGGTTGAATCATCTGGACGAGCAGCCAGCTCAGAAACCGCGTCGAATGAGCGGCGTCGAGGTGGCAATCACACCCAATGGAGATCGGTATCTTCTCCCCAAAAATGGCGTAGCGTTCGCCGCACCCGATCGGGTGCAGTGGCGGCTTTGACGGGAAAGGTTTGAATTCCCAGTGCAAGGATGGGGTAGCCGCCACGTGACCTTTGCGGCTTGCCGTGGGAATTCGGGAAGAATTTCCGGCACCCCAGCCCCTGAGCCCTAATGGCAAGTTGGGCTGCGAGTGGCCGCATCAAACGACACACCCTGAAAGGAAAACGCGGATTTTGGAGAGATTAGTACTGGGCTACCTTTTCCAGCTGAAATTGTTCAAAATTTGTCAAGATGGGGGTATCCACGAAGGGTATCGAAGAAACTACGATCCCATGCTCTTCTCCAGTAAGTGTCACACATGCCTATAGGAAGAGCGATGTTCTGATTGAAGTGAAGGATTTTTCTATGTCTACGGGGAATGGTTCTGCGTCTATGTCTCTATATTGAGTACTTGAAGAATTAAAATCCACGTTCTGCGGGTTGAGGTGAAAAAAAGGAAAAAAACCGAAAATTCCGCATATGTTTGAATTTCCATGAACACAAACCTCCATTGTCTCACCACACAAAGTAGACGGCTGAAAAAAAAGCAGTTTGCCGTTCGGTGATTTGCAACTGTTTCCAGCTGAAATTGTTAATTTTGCTTCTGCCTCGAGGTTGGTAAGTGGAAATGTTTTATTCTGGCCAACGTTTCAACGGACTCGTCGTTTTCAAAGGTCTCACTTCCACCGCGAAGTGTAGCGTTACGCTACACGGGTAGTACATTAGTAAGGGGTCTAGTAGTACATTAGTAGAAACTCGAGACAGAAGCAAAATTAACAATTCCATGAACAACAGAAATGCCGAGGTTTCAAGATGAGAGAATCAACTGATTTTGATTAAGTGATGTTAGGGTTTTTAAAAAAAACATGTTTTCATGTTTTCCTCGAATATAGCGTGTACTTGTTCTTTGAGCACCGAAAACGAGGTTCCCAACCAAGAAAACTTATATTGCACCGTTCATACGCTTCCTGCTTCCTGAAGCATCATATCCTCAGGTAACATTCCGGGGCATAAAGACTAAGTTATCATAATTCTAAGAAATGAAGGCGAAACTTGAAGAGAATCGAAAGTTTATTATCGATCCGGGTTCTTCATAATAAAAGCTTTCTGTTAGTCTTATTCATAACTCAATTGCAGCATTTTACTGAAAATTATGGCGATGCGACGTTTTGCGACGGTTCAATCGACTGCAAACTGTCGCTCACCATAACTTTCGCTAAATGTCAGAGTTAGTAGTTATATAGCAACAGCGAATGGCATGCCGAAATAGAAAACGAAACAGCAATAATGAAGCGAAAATGGAATGCCAGCAGATGACTGAGGTAAAAACAGAGAAAACGAACTGGCAATACTTTACTTTTCTTGATGATTTTTATTTTTTTCGAGATGCGAAATTCATCATGGGGTGGTTGAGTTGCACGACAATGCCGGACCTGATTGAAACCTGGGTTCATGCCTATCAGTACGAACCCTTGTGCCTAGATCCACGAGACCTCGCGTGATCATAACTCAGGCGTGTAAAGTGACGAGCCGGTTAGCTGATATCAGCCTTGTACTGCTTGTGGATCTTGAGACTCAGAAGACTTATGCCTGAGATTCTAGCGCTGCGGATCGAATGCATCGCGAATATTTCTCTTTCAGATCCTAAGGAATTTCTGACAGAAATAGTAACAGGAATAGTAAAGACAACCATTTGGCATAGAAGAATTCCAAGAAATTACTCGTATTCCCGTATTTCTGACTTCGGCGAACAAATACCCATCTTCTCATTGCGCTGGTCCCTATAAGAATTCAGCAAAATGAATGACTAGTTGCGCAGTATGTGTATTGAGTTACTACAGTTATGCTGATATTAGGCCTATCTATGCATAGACCACGGGGGAGCATGCGGATATGAAAACGAGAAGGAGTCTTAACAGTCCCGAATCATCATCATGCATTTTACTTGGTAGCCAAATGAAAACAATTTGCAAACAGTTCGCTATCGAAAAAACAAAGGGAAAAATATTAAGTATAGCATTGTACCATGGAAGGGCTGATCTGTGCACATATAAACACACAATCGAAAGAAATGCGTACAACATAACAATAGAGTGGGTCAGCTGTGGTTACGGGAAGACGACCTTGGAGTAGCAATCCATACCGCACCCGCTAAACATGGCGTTCGTTGCGGCAACGCCGAACTGGTGGCTGAAGTGCTGTGACCTTGTTGCTGGTTAAGATCTGTTCCACCTATGGAACAGGGTTGCGGCAGTTCACTACTTCAGTAAGCAGCTCTTGCAGATGCAGAGCCAAGAGTGCTGAGAGTGTTTATGTTGCTCATTAGTTGTGTACCATCCCTACCCACTGTATCCATCTCCATTACCCAGAAAATGTATTTCATAGCAGTTAATATGGCCACTGCCTTTCTGGCCATAGCAGCAAGGATCAAATCACGTTGAAAATCGCGGACCGTGCTCATGCTATACTCCAAGTCTTCACTGTACGACAGCATCCTTCTAAAAAGTGTTTCGGCAGCAGTCAGCTTGTCTTCACCGCACAGCTCTGCAGCAACAGTGCGTCTGGAAAGCAAGAGAGGCTCACATGCAAGAAATGTCGAGTGCTCGTTTTTTGCTTGGGATGGAGGTTGCTTCTTGAGCTCCTTATCGCTCTCTCTTGGACCCAGCTCGAAGATATTATCTTCTGTTTGAAACAAACTTACTGCCTTCGCACATTTCAAAAGGGTGACAAAAGCATGCCGACGAAAAGTGTGCTCCATAACCGGACGGCCTTGCCATCTTCTTGCTGTATTGCTGCACGGTCAGTTTACCTACCCAAACTGCTACCAGTTTACTTTAAAGGATCTTTAGCAGGAGGCCAGTGATGTTCCGCCAAGTGACGTATGGGAATGAATGGCGGTTCAAAGTCATGGTCGCCCGGAGGCACAGATGTTATCGGGAGCTTGTATTCAAGTGACTGGGGAGTGATGGTTTTCTTTGCTCCTCACCTTAGAGGTGCGCAACTGATTTTTTTCCCCAATTCGGGGGCACTCTTCTACCTCTTGAGACTGCTAAGACCAATGAAAACGAAGGCATCACAGCTTTTTTAAAAAACACCCCGTTCTCGTAACTATATAATTGCAATTTAGAGCGCGAGTATGGGTAAAAAATGTAAAATTCACACAAAAGTATAAGAATTCTGTGCTAAAATAACATCCTTTCCGTGCTAATGTGGAGACGCGTGCACAATATTGCACCAGCGATTCCACCAGAGCAGGCAAAAAGCAGCATTATGACAACTCTATTCGTCCGATAGTTCAGCCGATGTAGAATTCGTGAATCCAATAGTCAATACACTGCCATTTACCTTCAAAGCATTTTGGTCGTTTGTGGCAAATCAGAACTGTTATCATCACGTGCAGGGGGAAAATTTTTCTGCTATCCTACCGGTTTGTTGGAACAACTGACAACTTCCATGTCAATCGGTCGCCACGCTCTTTCTTTACCGTCGTGGAAGAAATTCTGCATGAGATGTCTATTCTCCCAATGTTTCGTACTGCCTGTGTAACTTTTGTGGCTGACAATGAGAACGAACTCCTATAAAGGCCAGCAACCATTAAATGAACCGTTTCCAGACGCTTCGATCATGCCGGCTATGACCGAGTAAAGAATAGTGAATGTAAACGAGGGATTCTTCAGACGGCGGATTAGACGATGGACTCCAAGTGCCATCTTTAGGCCAAACATTTCAGATTCTTGGCCTTTTTTCGAAAAAAAAAAGTTAACAGAACTTATTACACAGATGCTGCGAATTGCTCAGAATTCCTGTAAGGGTTTCATTTCAGCACAAATCTTCAGACTTTAAAGTGCTCGGTAACAATTTCATGCAATCATCAACAACACAATTGACAGATTTTTTTAATTTTTGCTTTTTCTTGGGTGCAAAACCAGGTATCTAGTAAGAATACCCAAATGGGATTACAGAAATTTTGGAGTAACTTGGAGGAGCACTTCGTCTTCTGAAACTGACTTACCAGTCAATGGGACTTCTCCTTTTTCAAGGATTGTCCGGGCGATTTTGAGAAACCTTGCGATATAACATGTTTCTATCGACATCTTCGGCACTGAATTGAGGGGACAGTGCCTCGTAGGCCACGATACTTCCGAAATGTTCAGCATTTACACGACTCTGCTCATCTGTCATCGTGAATCGACGATGAAGCGAAGAGATTTTTCGTTGTAAGGGAAGTGGGATAGTGAGTTGAGTGAAAGGCCGAAAATTTCGAGCAATACTATCACCATCATAGTACATTGTAGGACTGTTGAAAGGTTCACTGAAACGAACAACAAAAAAAATTGTAGGCAACCCGTGGGTGGGGTTGAAAATGGCCTGGATATGAAGTAGCTATGTAGTAGACGGGCGTCGACGGTGGCGACTTGATATCGACGGCGGCGTAGGTTTGGAAGGAGGCAAAAAAGGAAGATTTGTTGGAGTATGCAGTTAACTAACGACTTACACTCTCTCTACCTGTACCCATTGAGCACTATATGAATTAAAAGATGACATCCCTTTATAAGCCATACCTAGACAGTTGGGTTCCACCTCTTTCCGTCATGACCGTAATCGCCCATCATCTATGACGTTTCTTCTTCAACAACATATTTGTAACACAGTATCCTTTGCCGCCCATGTTATTAGAACAAAGTTTCTTTCACAGTAAATTCTTTCATTATAACTTGAATCATGTGGGCTGTTCCCATGTACTGTTCATGGTTCCCATGTCTTTTTTCACTTGTGGAAGCTTCTATACACTGAAATGGAGACGGTGACTTCACCCCAAAAATCGCGTCGCGGTCGTCGCATCCGATCGCGCACGGTCGCGCGTTATGAGGGGGAAGTTTGAACACCCACTGGAAGAATACAGTATTGAGGATATTCTAAGAATTTCTATCGCTGAAGATGTGCTTATAAACAACCTATACAGGATCTTGGAGAATCGTAGCGGTGGCACTATCCAACAGAAGAGCTAAATGGAAACGAGTAGATGTTGTAAGAGGNACGGAGACGGTGACTTCACCCCAAAAATCGCGTCGCGGTCGTCGCATCCGATCGCGCACGGTCGCGCGTTATGAGGGGGAAGTTTGAACACCCTCTGGAAGGATATATTATTGAGGATATTCTCAGAATTTCTATCGCTGAAGATGTGCTTATGAACAACCTATACAGGATCTTGGAGAATCGTAGCGGTGGCACTATCCAACAGAAGAGCTAAATGGAAACGAGTAGATGTTGTAAGAGGACAAAAACGATTCCTGCAAGACTAGGTAATCTTCCTAGTGAGACTTATCACATCCGTTTCACCTTCTGAAATGATGCTAATCCATCGTTCAGGAATTCTACTGGCTATTGAGCATACGCCACAGGCTGTATATGACCCCGACAGAGCTAATTTGTACAGGTAAACTTCACCCTACCATGAATAGCATTACGTGGATCGCTGTTGTGAGCTTCTATGTACGGGAAACCCTCATCATTTTCACAGTCGTTGGTCGTGGAATCAACTATAATAAAGAGCATTCCCGTCCTTGGTCGTACCATCCTCCTTGCCACCATGCAGGCTCATGACTTTAATGGCGCATTATCGCTGCTCTCTTATTTGAATGACCTTTATATTTATTCATGTGGAACGTTTTCATCATACCGCAGCTTGCTGCTCGACTATCGTGTTTATTTACGCCTTCTATCACTTGAAAAATGTTAATGTGTAACAATGGGTTTGCTTGGACCCTTCACTCCTCTTTCCTGTTTTTTTCTCGCCTTTGTATGTATAAGAGACCTCAACTTCTACTAACAGTCTCCCGTTCGGTTTCCATTGCTACCAATAACTACATCTGGGAAGTAACTGAACGGACCTTCAGGAATTTTCCTTCAATTTATCTGACTGTTCATGGCTGCTCGTTATGCTTGCACCGCCTAATGGTGATCAAGGCCCACTATGAGTACTGATTTTCTTGGGATTGCTTTTCACGCACTCACCATTCATGTCATACCACCACTGCGCATGGTGTACCACCGGAATTTCGTCCGTAACTAATGACCATCCCAGCACAAAAGATACAGAATAGTTCATTGTCGTTTGTGAATCCTTTAACAGACCTTCCCCTTTGCCTTCCCTCAGGCATCGTGGTGGCGTTGGGAATGTGCCACTTGCCAGCACTCCACCTCCGCCCAGCGTCAAGGACAAAATTCCCAGCATTCATTTCCCGCCCATCACCGCTCGAATTCACCAAAACGCTGCATACTCATAGACCTTTCGTTTCATTTCTACTTAAGTCAATTCATAAGCACAACTTTTGGAACTCAGATATACCTTTCAACTTAACTCATCAATTTTACAAAATAGTATCTGGAAAGTTTGAGGGTTTACTTATACTTCCCTTTTCACCCTTTTGCCCTCCACTGGTCGACCCCAGCTGCTCGCTTACTCTGGAATGACCTAGCTATCTATTGGGAATCAACCCAGCCCCCACCTCAGACCCTGACAAGCCACTCGTGGGTACCCATATGTCAAAAATTGACATACGAAAAGCTTTATTTCCCTGGATATGATTAGGCATCCAATACGGCAGCGTTGGGTAGGGCCGCTCGGAGAAGCTGAAAATTTTCAGATGTACTTCTAACGACCACACGCTCGCATCCGAAGCGTGTATCAGAAGATCTGTTGACGCAAGCTAGGAAGATCAAATACGACGCCATCGGACTGACCGATACGAGAAACCATCGCTGCACCACGCCTTCTCCGAGACTGGAGAAGTGCTGTTCTTGGTAAATGCGACAGCAGAGGCGTCGACGGGGCAAATGTCCCTGTCAACACACACTTGGCCATGAACATCGATTTGTACGAAAGTTTGGCAATCTGGCGTTCGCACTTAAAAAGTTAAAGCTCAACTCCTACTCTCACTATTTTCGTTACTTACGAACTACCAACATGCTACAGAGAAAAGGAGCTGGAAGCGTTTTCATCGGACCCGGTCATCGGTGTTTTCAACATAGCCTTAGAAAAAGCACGGAGCGGAATGGAATGAGCAGGGTGTAGAGGTGACCGTGCTTCTCATGTTGACTCACACTATCCATGGTGAGTCACAATTTCAGATGCTCTCTCACTTCGATCGAAATGAGGTCACCTTGCCAACCAATCCCTAAGGAATTAGAGTGTAAAGCTGACTCTGTTTGACAGCTTTGCCTAGTTGACTTCGTTGTTGTTCAGAAGGTTTACACGAGAGTGGACCATTGTCTCCTCTGCACATGATTCTGTTTCTCAGTGCGTGGAAAGAAAGATCCGCTGTCACAACACAGATGAAGAATACAACCGACTCGTCGAACAAGCTTCACAATAGCGCCAGGACAGTTGAGAGTCTCAAAGATGCCGAAAAACGTCTCTCTTTGAAGACTCTCTACCTTATACCCCAGCGTGAAATCGCACGAATTGCGTCAGTCAATCAACAATGTTCCGAACTTGCGGAGCCATGCAGAGGAGTGTCAAAGGAAGATTCTAAAGAGAGTAGAGCACCAGTTCTAGACGAGTTCGGGAAAAGCATTTGAAAGGCACGCGAGGAGTTCGCCAATAACAGATCAAGTTGACTTCCCTTCGTCATCCCGATGCAATTGTAACGCATCTCAGTGGGTAATGGAGGAGATCATCCATGACTTCTACTCGGATCTCTTCGTCAGGCACGTCTACCGTTCTACTTACCGTCTGAGGCTAGATGGATATGTCGT